GTGTGGCCGCTTACCTGTCCCAAATAGCACCAGTGACCTTGTAGATAACAGTCACCCACGCGACATCATGCAGCGACCCCCAAAACAGCCAATCGTGCGCAGCAACCGTCATGCCCAAAAACATGAATTACACAACGTCGCACACACGCAAAAAATTAAGGGTCGTGAAGGGGTTTGTAGAATATGAGGGATCAGGGTAATAACAACGAGAAACATAATCAGGCACAAAAACAAGAGACTAATGAAAATCAGGAAAAATGCTCTTTTTAATCCTTCTTTAATTTATTATCTGTTTGTTTAGTTTAGCCGCGAAAATAAATAGGCCCCCACCTCCGACTCGGCCACATGGAACCGCGTGCGCGGAAAGCTGTGCACACGTCGACGGCGAAGTGTCAACGGAAATGAAAATAAGGACAGAATAGGGTAATTATAGGGGTGCTAGAATCTGAATAAAATAAAATAATTGTCCGCACAGAACTAAGGTTAGTGTCAGCAAATTATCTGACGGAAAATAGGTGTCAACCCTGGCACCCCATTTTTCGACCGCCCATCAAATGAAAGGATCGACAAAAAGGCACCCCATCAACCGACACAGATCCCAAGTTCCGTCATTTCGGGTGGCGGACTGGATTTGGCCGCCCGACAGCATGTCCGCAATGCCCGCATAGGCCAGAATGTCGAGCTCTGGCCAGCCTCCTCCCTATATGGGAGAGGTTGCTGCTGTTGGACTCTGTGTGGGCCTGGCCGTCGAAGTTTCCAGTAGCTTCCGGTCGGGCCCTAGTGTCTGTGCCCAGGCCAACTCTGACAGTACGGGCCTGGGCCCTTTTTAGTTGGGCACACTCATAACTTTCCAGGCTTCGAGTTGTTTGCCCACGGGATAGATACGACGGCAATGCTGCTTTCTTGTTGGCCCGTGGCCACTTCGTGATGTGTGCCCGGGGCACAACCACCCGCGCCCTGGGCTCAACTGCCTGGCGCAGTTGCATCTTCTGGGAAAGCCCAGGGTAAGACCCAGGTTGCTCTTCAACCAACTGTCGTGCAGCAACTGTCTGAGACCCGCATTGAAAAGACCTCCTGTGGATATTCAGGCACGCCTTCACTTAGGGCGGGCATGCGGCTTGCTGGGGGCCACAGTCAGAATGTATCCATGTTGTCTACGGGCCCCCTGAGGAGACATTCCTCACATATGTTATACAAAAAGATAAAATGAACAACATTTGCATCAGTGTTACATCCAAATTCTTTACCAAATTTGAAATAAAAATAAAATACGTGCAAGGAAAATGAGCAATAGCAAGATGACAATATCCAGATTGCACAATCACATTGAAAGCCAGAAAGTTCATCGTGTCCAGAAAACAGCATCGCACCAATATAACACCACTGGAGAATCGTAACACTGAAAACCAAATGTCAATGAGAGCTTGCTCTCACCACCACCAACATAAGCGTCCAGGCCCTTCTCTCGACTTGGCGTTCGGCGCCCAGCCTACTGTCTGCCTATTAAGTGACAATGCAACTGTTGACGTCAGCAGCCAACGAGGTACTTGAAGATGTCGCCCAATGCAGACCATCGCCAATACCAGGTATGTGCCCTCACATCATCATGGCCATCATCCTTCTCTCTCTCCCTCGACTTACACCCATGTCTTCCCTCTGTACACCCGAAGACCGCCTCTGCACCTCACTGTGGTCCAAGCCCCATCCAGCTATGGAAGCTGAGCTATGGCGCTGCCCTCAGCAGCGCCCTGCTTCTCGCACGACTGCACGCGCACAGCACCTTGCCCTTAGCGCACAGCAGCACGCGAGCCAATGCTCCAGCAGCGCTGCCGCACAAACTGGCAAGTGCCTGAATTCCCGTCCAGGCAGCGAGCTCTTTCCTATATGGATAGAGTCTGCCTGCCCCGGTGGCCTGGCTGGGCTGGGCCTGTGCCCAGACGCTTCCGGTAGGCCCCAGGAGGCTGTGCCTCCATTACAGCTGCTGGGCCTTGTTCGGTTGGGCCTCCCAACTGTCTGTGAATGATGCTGCGATTCTGGCCCAGGGCCTGCATCTCCGAAAGGGCCTGGAAGGCCGTGGAATATCTTTGCTGCTCGGGCCTGTGTTTCCCTCAACCAACTGGTGCGTCACAACTGCCTGGACCCCAAATACGTAATTGACAGCAATGGGCCTCTCGAGATTTGTTAGGCCCGCCTTCACTTAGGGTGGGCACATCTGCATCAGGCCCCCTTAGGCCTGCCAAGGACCCAGATCCTCGCATATGGAAAACAAAAAAAACAAAACAAAAAAAAAAAAGTGAAGAGAGAATTAAAGTCAGTGCGTGGGTGGGCACATTTTAAACACCTCCATCTTTGGCTATTTTTTATTTGTTTTTGGCTCGTGCAAGGAAAATAAGTAACAGCGAGATGACAATTCCAGTTCACACCATCACATTGAAAGCCAAATAGTCACACCGTGTCCAGAGAGCAGCATCGCACCAATATTACACCAATGGAGGTTCGTAGCACTGAAAACCAATGTTCATGGAGAGCATACTCTCTCCTCCCAACACAAGAGTCCAGTTCCTTCACACTCACACTTGGCGCTCAGCGCCCAGCCTACTCCTACACAGCTACTACAGACTACAAAAAGACAATGCAACTGTTGACATCAGCGGCAGCCCGAAGTACTTGAAGATGTCGCCCCTGCAGACCATTGCCAATACAAGGTAAGTGCCCTCACATCATCATCATCATCATCATCCTTCACCTATCCCCTGACTACACCCACGTCTGTCCTCTGTTTCACCCGAAGACCACCCCTGCGCCTCACTGTAGTCCAAGCCCACCAGCTATGGTGGCTGGGCTATGGCGCTGCCCTCAGCAGCGCCAGCCAGCAGCCACGAGGCTTTGCTCCAGCAGCGCTGCCGCTAGCATGCGAGTTCCTGAAGGAGGCAGCCAGGGCCGAGCTCTTTCCTTTATGGAAAGAGTTGGCCTGCTCTCGCAGCCTGGCTGCACTGGCCTGGGCCCAGAAGCTTCCGAAAGGCCCCAGGAGGCTGCCTGTGTACAGCAGCTACTGGGCTGCTGGGCCTCGTTCGGTTGGGCGCCCAACTGTCTCTGTATGAGGCTGCGAATCAAGCCCAGGGCCTGCATTCTTTGGAAAGGCCCGGAGGGCCGTGGAAATGTCTTTGTTGCTCGGCCTGTGTTTCGCTCAACCAACTGGCGCAGCGCAACTGGCTGGACCCCAAATATGAAATTGACAGTCGAGGGCCTCTTGCAAAAAGCCAGGCCCGCCTTCACTTAGGGCGGGCACCTCCGCCTTCACTTAAGGCGGGTAAGGCTGCAAACAGGGCCCCATAGACCTACCGAGGACCCTAATCCTCGCATTCCCTTCTCCTTTACTTCGTGAGTCCTCTGAGATGTCTCTTATTCTGCAGGCATCTTCCCCTTGAGTGCTCTCTCATAGCCTGCGATTACTTGAGGTGCTGTTCTCATGAGTTCTTCTCGTGTGAACCACCGGTCTTCTTTCGGATCCAGATGATGTCGGAAGCTCACACGATACTGCATTCTCGGTTTAGGAGGTCGCCCTCTGCCTGATGGTCGAGGAACAGGCATCACTTGATGCTCGACAATCTGGTCAATGTCCACTTCGTCATCCATGGTTGGGAGCAGCATTGATCTCCTGGAAGGGAACTGCTCAGTAGCAGCAAAGGGTGCTAACTTAGAGGCATGGAACACAGGGTAGGTATGCAAGTGAGGTGGGATGCGGATTACATATGAAGGACCGTCTGGTTGATCTCCTACAATGTCTAAGATCTCCCAGGGCCCAAAGAATTGTGGCATTAGCTTGCGGGATATGCCTAACTCCTGACCAAGCTCAGCAGCCTTAATCCAGACTCTCTCGCCTACCTGAAAGTTAGAGGGCCGTTTATGTCTATTCTCATATGCAATCATTGCCTCTTGTGACTTCCTAATGTGTTCAACGGCCTGCTGCAGCCTCTGTTCGTACTTGACAACAAACTCTATGCTGCCGGGTGCTGCAGTGGGTTCTCTTTCTGGTAGCAGAAAGTCAAGGGCGGTTCGGGGCTTCCAACCAAGATGCAGTTGGTTGGGAGTCATGTCGGTAGTACTATGCACACCATTGTTGTACAGGCTGGCAACGAGAGGTAGTTTCTCGTTCCAGTCGTTTTGACTTGGCTTGATATAGTGCCTAAGCAATTGTTGTACTACCCGGTTCATTTGTTCTGCTTGCCCATTTGACTCAGGATGATTTCCTGAAGTCATTTGGAGTTTTCTGCCCATTTGTTCAGCAGGAGACTGCCACAGTTCGCTCGTGAATCTGACATCCCTATCACTAACAATAGATGTAGGTAGACCAAAGTCTCTTACCCAGTTATCCATGAAAAGTTTGATGACAAAGTCAGTTTTAGCAGTTTCAGGCATAGCGATCAGTCTGGCATACTTGGTAAAACGGTCTACTATGACAAAGATGTGTCTCTTTCCTGACCTGCTGGTCACAAGGGTATCCATGAAATCCATGGACACACTCTGGCCTGGTCCTTCAGGGATTGGCAAGGGTTTGATCAACCCAATCGGAGCCTGAGTCCTTGGTTTGTCCCTTTGACAAACCTGGCAGGTTTCAACATAACGTTTTGCATCTTCCAACATAGAAGGCCACCAAAATCTCTGCACTAAGTTCACTGATGTCTTTCTATAACCAAAATGACCAGTTGCATCATGACATTCTCCTAAAAATAAACTACGCAAAGACTCACTATTAGCAACACATAGTTTTTTATTCCCTGCCTTCTCAAGGAACAGCAAGCCATCTACCATCGTAAATTCATCCAAAGTCTTATTGTCCTTTGCTTGGAATCTATGGACGATTTTTGACATGACTGGGTCTCCCTGATAGGCTTCCACCAGCGATTGAGTGAGTTCGTCAGATATGCCAAACTCGGTAACTAGCGCGCCCAGATAATCTGCCGTTCGTGATAGTGCATCAGCCACTTTGTTATACGTACCCTTGATAGGATCAAGTTGATAGTCATACATGTCTATCACTTGAATCCATCTCTTGAGTGCGTCTGACAACACAGGCTGTGTCTTAATCCAACGCAAAGTCTCATGGTCAGACCTCACATTGAAGAATCTTCCTAGGAGGTAGTGTCTCCAATGGACTAGCGCTCTGTATAGGGCGTTAAGCTCTCTCTCATACGTGGACTTAGCTAACTTTTGAGATGACATCTTCTTGCTCATATACTCGATCGGTCTCAACTTGGGCCCTTCCTGTTGCGCAAGGACCGCGCCTATGCCATATTGGCTGGCGTCTGTGGTCACAACAAATGGCTTGTCAGGATCAGGAAGTTTGAGAACTTCATAGTGTGTTAGAGCATACTTCAATTTCTTGAAGCTTGCCTCACACTCTTCAGTCCACTCCCAAGGGGCGTCAAGTCGAGTTAGATCTGTTAATGGGGAAGCTATAGTACTATAGTTCTTCACAAATGGACGATAATAGCCCGTCATCCCTAAAAACGATCTGACCTCAGTAACAGTCTGAGGTCTAGGCCAGTCACGTATGCTGGCCACCTTCGCATCTTTCGGCCTCAATCCATCTGCTGAAATTTCATGACCCAAGTACAAGATCTTGGTGCGACCAAACTCGCGTTTATCCAAGTTTACCTTGTACTGGTGCTGTCTTAGGAGACCTAGCACTGTTTTCAAGTGCTCAGCGTGCTCCTCTACAGTCCTACTAGAGATGAGAATATAGTCGAGGTACACGACGATAAACTTGTCCAAGTAGTCATGAAAAATCCTATTCATCGCGTGCTGGAACGTACCAGGCGCATTGCATAGGCCAAAAGGCATCACCACAAACTCGTACAGACCGTACCTGGTCTGAAATGCGGTTTTGTGTTGGTCCTCAGGTCTAACGGCAATTTGATGGTATCCGGACTTCAGATCTATCTTTGTGAAGTACCGGCATCCCTGCACTCTATCCAAGAGGTCGGCAATGCGGGGTAGGGGCTCCACGTTCTTCACCGTGATGGCATTGAGGCCCCTATAGTCAATGCACATCCTTAATGGACCTCCCTTCTTTGGGACAAATAAGACTGGCGCACCGTAAGGGGAGGTACTCGGCCGTATCCATCCCTTCTCTGTGAGCTCCTTGAGTTGGCGGCGAAGCTCATCTAACTCCGCAGGAGACAATCTATAGATTCGTCCTCTAGGCATCTTGCTACCTGGGACAACCTCTATTGCATGGACAACCTCCCTTTCTACCACGCTTGTGGGCTCCTCAAAAAGGTCTAAATATTGTGCGACGACTGTTTCTATCTCTGGGGGTGTTTTAACGTCCTCCCCTTTCTCAGAGACAAATACTAGATACATGCCCTCCTCGCGATTCTGCTTATAATAGTTATAGAAGGATGATGCACACATGCACCTGTAGTTTTCTATTAGACTGTTAGCTTTGAACTTTTGCAATCTAACAGATCTACCATTGGGCAACTTGTGAATCAATACCTTTCTATCCCAGTCAAACTGCGGTTGCTCGACCTCGAGGTATAGTACATACCTAGGAGCATGTCAAATGGCAGTTTGTCGCTAACCAGGAAGGAGATTTTATGACTCACTTCCCCTCCTCCATAGGAGAAGGTGCAAACTACATCCTTGACTTAGTCTTTCACCAACATTTGGTGCTTGTTGGCCAGCGTAGAAGCTACAGTTCTGCTAAGCCGCTGCACTTGGTCCCCTAAGCGCAATCTATCCACACAAGCACGATTGATGAAATTTCGTGTAGAGCCTATGTCTGCAAATGCGCCAACCATGCGGCCACCTACATCTACTTCTACCATGAAATGTTCACCCTTTGGACCTCTACTTGTCATCGCCCAAGAGTCCCTGGGGTCCTTCCCTGACCACTCAGTCTCTAACTCTTCTAGGGCCTCAGACACATCTCTCGAGCAGAGCGACGGTGGGTCTGAATGTGTTTGCAGGGCGATGCGTGGGTCACTAGTCTGATTGTGTCTGCGGGGCGATGCGTGGGTCACTAGCCTTGGCCAACGTTACCACTTCAACACGAGTAAGAGCGGCTAACACTCCTACTGGCCCGAGGTGTTTCCCTATGAGCTGTTTGCAGAAGCACTCCCAGGGTTCGAAGATAAGCCCACCACCGTTGGTGAGGCTACCTTCGTTGTGACCTTCTTGCCGCGGCAAGTCCTGGACGTGTGGCCATAGTTGCCATAGTTCATGCAAGTGCCCCTAGCAACTCGGTCCCTCCACACCTCGTAATCCAAACCAAGCTTCACCCATGCGGGTGTCCCTTGGTCTCCCTGACCCGTGGACCGTCCTACCTTCTTCTTCCCGGTCCCCCTAGCCTTTTCTTTGATGGGTGCCACGACTCCCCCATCCGAAGTCTCACTGACCCCATCCTGCTCTGTCACCTCCCCAAGATCTGGGAAATCGTCAATCTTCGTTGTTTGACCATCGTGGTCAACGAACATTAACCGACCCTTCTTCTTCCAGTCTTGGGGTAGTCTCTTCCTACCATCATGAGATGTCCTATGCGCAAACCCCAACTTTGCCTCTATGTCCAGAGCTTTCTTACTAAAAGAAGCGAAGGTGTGTTGTTTGACATATAGGCCTCATCAACCAGCTTGGTCCTTACGTCTGCAGGTAGGCACCTTAGGTAATCCGTCAGGAGAACCTGCTGGTCAAAACGCACACCAGGTACCACGAGAAGGCGTTCTACGGTGTCCGTAAGCTCTCTAACATCCTTGAACCTGCGGGAACAAAGGTTGTTGAGAGCATCGGTGGCCTTTTGAGCCCCTTGCGGGTCATGCCACCTGTTGTAGACGGACCGTACGAACTGTTCCAATGTCTGAGCCTGAGCCCAGGCATCGAAATCCTGACCGTAGCYYTGTTGCTGCRCTAGGCCRTTCAACCAGCRAGCTGCYGACCCTTCTARAAAAGAGGCAGCCACAACAACTTCTTGCTCTGGCCTTGTGAGCTTGTGCCTCACATAAGTAGGCACAGTCCTCACCCAGGTGTCCAAGTCCTCCTCCTTTCTTTCTATCTCCAGAGAAGGGTTTGGGACTCATTAGGGCTATCTTAGGCATCCACTGCATAGGCTGCATGGGCCCAGGGGCTTGCTGCAGCGGCTGCATAGCCACTGAAACAGGCTGCTGCACACTAACCTGGGCCTGGCTTGACAATGGGACTGTAGTTACCACTGTTGTGGATGGTACGGCTGAGACCCTTTGGACCGGACCACTAGTTGCTGTTAAACCACCTGAAGGGGGCATGCCAAACATAGGAGAGAAAGTTGACCCTGTGTGTTGCGGCATCGATGAAGGACCCGCACCTACAGGGGGAACTACAGCAAACTGCGGCTGCCTCACTACTGTGCGAGGAGCCCGAAGTTCAGCCAAGATTTATTTCTGGCCTGCTACCAATTCGGCCAGCAATTCCTGCTGGACGTTCTGCGCTTCAGCCACTGAAAGTAAAGCATTACGCAGCACACGGCCAACAGGGTCTAATACTGCCTCATCTAGTCCTTCCAGTCTGTTTAGCTCCTGCATTCTACTCCCTAGTCTAGCCTTTCTAAGTATGGCTTTTCTTCTCCTCTCTGCTGTCTCGTCCAACTGCCGCTGTAGCGCATCCTGAAGTTCTTCTGCTTGCCGGATTTCTAAGTCCTCCGGCGTGAGTTGATGGCTGACTCGCAAGCTAGCAATCTGACTAGTGGAAACCTGAGAACCACTCTGACTGACTCCTGACGAAGTGGACTGTGTAGAGACTTGCGACATAGCTGAGGTAGCCATGGTTGCACTTGTACTAGCTGAGACTCTAGTCTTGGCACTATCCTCAGCTGCCCTCGCTCTCCGTGCCGTTGTTCTCTCTCTAGCCTCTCTCCTCAATCTTCTCTCGTCTCCTAGACCTAACTCCAAGAATGTCAAGGGTCGACTGCGGGCAGTCCCGCGAGTAGTCCTATGGTTGTCCACTAGCAACTACTCCTCACTAGTGCTTGCATCACTCATGAGCTACAGTGTGGGTGATCTAAACTAGAATCCACACTGAATCCTACCTTAGCCTGACACACAACCGATTATGAACCACAACTACTTTCGGTCCGCTGGAACAGAAACATTTAGGTGATATATTAACAACTAATGTCAGGTCCTACAGGATATATTAATTCTATTTTTAAATTACCCTGGAACAGATTGCACTGCAGCAAAGATCTAATCTATATGTAGCTGTCTGTCAGTTATTAGTCAAGTCGGTAACAACTAGATAATCAAAATAAAAAAATAACATCTCCTATTGGATGCCAGATTGATAGTTGATTGCCACTGTAAACGGTTACCGGAATCTGCCCCTCCCCCTGTATCCTTCTTGATTGGTCACTTTGTGTCAACGTTCCTGAGCATTTGGTTGAGCAGCGTGTCTGAAGGTGTGCAATCCGGCCCACCCCTGTGCCCCAAGTCATTGTCGAACATGCCAGCCAGTCCACTCTTATTTACCCTCGTACGGAACGAGCCTTACACCCGGTTGATCTGGCTGATCAGGAGGGATTTAAGGAGAGCCCCCATCTCCTCAGGAGTTATTTAACGTCGTAGTTAGGACGACGATCACAGCCAGATTCAATCCCAGTCCCCAGCCAGAAATATTTATAGATGGTATGGTAAGCGCCTCATTAAAGGTTGGCATGCCCTGCACGACCTCTATTGCGCAAGCAGCGGTACCAAGGACTTGCTGCCCAAGCATGCGTGTACTAGTCCCAGCGGGTTGGCATGGTGACCGTGACCCGAGTGCTTCGTCCAGGGCCCTTCAGAGGCTTCGCCCATCTCCCACCAGCTTGCTGCCCAGGAAGAATATCGACTCTCGCGACACCTCACATCGAGAGGACTCTCAAGACAGAACTCTCTTCCTCGCGGTAAGAAGAGATGAAGAGGGTAGATAAGGAAGAGAGTAACGTACCTCTTAAATGCTGCCCCCAACCACAGATTTCTCACCGACAACCTGATGTGCAATTATGATGACCGGTGTAGGGCCAAACCCCGGTAGACTTTCGAGCCTTAGTCGGCCCCACTGCGGGTCCCAGTTGGCTCGGCCCGCCCACGCTCATGCTCGGGGCGCGGGTTGTTCGTCCCGAAGTCGCCCCCACCTAGTGCTTTGAGATGGATGGGGGTGGGCCATCGCGCGAAGAGCTTTGACATTGGGGATGTAGCTCAACCCTTACGCCAAGTGGTAGTCGCGCTGGTTGTTCCGCAACGCTGATCTTTTTTTTGATTCTTTGTTGTGTTTTCATGCAATTGCTCTTCCAATACGCAGGCAGTCCAAGGATTCTTTGAGCGTTGCTCTTCTCTTGTGCGTAGGCTAAGCGTCATCCTTAGGCCATGCACCATTTCCCTAAGCAATGTGGCTATATGGCGTCGCGGGGTGTGGCAGAGCCGTCCTCCCCCTCGCCTCTACGCATCCATCAGGTCTCACAATTTGTTGTTTTCCTTATTGAAGTAGGCCCCTTAGTCTTTTCGGGGTCCTCATATGCATGCACACACAACATCACATTTCCTTTGGTACGGTTGCACTCTCAATCACACGTCAAAGTCTTAAGCGCAAAAAGTCATTTTCATGAGTTGCCTCTATGTCAAGGGTCCCATAGCCCCTTTGTCCCTCTTCCCTTTCCCTCTTGGTACCCGGTTCCTCTCGCCCCTATCCCGCTCAAGGCATTTCTAGCCATCACTCACCTGCACAATCCCATACAAACGAGAAGATCCATACAATCCCCCGTTGGGGGTCAACACATAGCCCTTCCTACATGCCTATCTTTTCAAATCCTTTGGCTGCTCTTTGTTCCCTCTTGATGCTCAATCAGCCCATTCTATTCTCGTAGTCATGCAATCGGGGAAATGGTTGAGTCAAACTGACCTCACTTTCAACTGAAGTTCTCTTCCGGATTCCGCCTTTCTCCCACTTTTTCAACCGTCCTTTCTCTTTTGCCTCCTTGGTGGCACAAGGGACCGGCTATCCTCCCCTTGCCCTCTTTCTCCACCAAGTGAAGTCTGATTTCGTTTACCGTCCGTGCCCTGGCAATGTTTCCAAGTGAGGGGAGAAGGGTTAGTCATATGCCAAGTGAGGGGACGGGAGAGAGGGAGAGAGAAGGCAAGGTGATAAAAGGGGGGGGGGGAAGAGAGG